AGGGCCAGAGGTTGAGAACCACTATTAAGGGAAGTCACCAACCAACCACACCTGAGACCCATTTCACAGCAGAAAAAAAGTGTCTGGCAGGTTGCTGAGAAACCAGCCTGTGTAGGGCCCCACCTGGGCACTCCCTCCCCGCTTCCCTCCTTAGGAACAGGAATAGTGATGTGGGAGGAGATTGTTGGCCCTGAATGTCTAGGGTGTGATGGTTCCCAGAGGGTGGGAAATGGATGCTGGTGCTTTGAGAGTAGCATGGACCTGCCCACGCAGGTTCCACTGATGGAGCAATACAAGCACAGAGGAAGTGGAAACGCCTACCTCCTAATCAACTTCAAAAGACTGGACAATAATTATTTCAGCAATCATCATGAACATCTGAAGACCAATGGCCCTCCTTAAGTTTTCAGGACTGTATAGGCCTCCAAGTCTCTTACACCAGTACCTCCCAAACTATAATGTGCATATGAATTGCCTGAGTCTCTTGTTAAAATGCAAATTCTAGCCCTGGCTGGTTTTGCTCGGTGGATAGAGCGTCGGCCCACAGACTGAAGGGTCCTGGGTTCGATTCTAGTCAAGGGCATGTATCTAGGTGGTAGGCTCAATCCCCGGCCCTAAACAGGCATGTGTGGGAGGCAACTAATCGTTGTGTCTCTCTCACATCAATGTTTCTCTCTCTGTCTCTCCCCCTCCCTTCCACTCTCTCTCTCTCTAAAAATCAATGGAAAAAATATCCTCAGGTGAGGATTAATAAAGAAAAAAAAAGCAAATTCTAATTCATTAGGTCTGTGGTGAGATCCAAGATTCTAGTATTACTAACAAGCTGCTGAGGACCACACTTTGAGTAGTGTCTTTGTGTAGGCTGCTATAACAGAATACCATAGACTGGGTATAAACAACAGAAATTTATTTCTCATAGCTCTGGTGGCTGGAAAATCCAAGATCAAGATGCTGGCAGATTCAGTCTCTGGTGGGGTCCCCTTCCTGGTTCTTCTTGCTGTGTCTTCACATGACAGAAGGGGTAAGAGAGCATTCTGGGGTCTGTTTTAGAAGGATAGTAATCATATTCATGAAAGCCCCACCTTCCTAATACCAACACCTTGAGGATTAGGATAGCAACATATAAATTTTGGGTAAACACAGACATTCAGTCCATAACAGGTAGAGAGGTCTTATACAAATCAAGGGATGTGGAGAAGCTCACCCTGGACAACTGGTATTGGTCAAATTACCAGCCCTGGGAGGTAAGTGCCAACAAGCCAAATGTAATTTGATTTAGAAAAATTAAATAAGTGAGATTTCCTGCATCCATATATTGTGGAGCAAATGCAAATTCATTTCTTATTCATGCTTGCCCATTAGTACTTTAAAGCTTTAAAACAGCTGTTACGCACCCAGCCAGAATGGCTGTTGGTTGAGTGTGATCCTATGCACCAAAAGGTTGCAGGCTCGATTCCTGGTCAGGGTATATACCTGGATTTCGGGTTCAGTCCCTAGTTGGAATGCATACAGAAGGCAACTGATGGATGTTGCTCTCTCACATCAATGTTTCTCTCTCTCTCCCTTCTCTCTTTAAGCATGTCCTCGAGAGAGGGTGAAAAATAATAATAATATAAAACAGGTGTTACCCATCAAAATAGATTAGTCAGCAAGGACCTGCTCTCATGTAAGTAGCCAGAGTCTCCATGACATCAGTGTATCATCTGCTGTGTGCATTTCATAGATCAATTTTCCATCACTTCACCATCGCCTTAACCAAATGTTTATAACAAATGGTTCTTCATTCAGTTATTATAGAGCTTTTATTTTTTAATAGATGATTGTTTTTAAAATCCTTTTAGAACCACATCATAATTTCATTGTTTCCTACTTCAAAGTTTAAACTCCTAGATAAATAATCTTTCACTGTAGCACCATGTTCTAGGCATCTGGGAGAAACTAGACATTAGGCTAGGCCGGGGTGGGCAACCCCTGGCACGCATGCCAAACATGGCACGCCAGTAACTTTTGCTGGCACGCGAAACCCTCTCTTATAATCTTCCATTTACAATTTTTTTCTTAATATCGACTTTTTT